GCTCAGGGCTGGGCTTTCATTGGGCACCATGGCTTTGGGTTTTGCCTTGGTCTGTCTGCAGAACAGGAGACAAAGCATGCTTGGATGCCCCTGACACAGCCCCTACCAGCCACCACTTAATATTTGGGATTCTGTGCATGTACTACCTGAGGAAAAATATTCATTTTTTTCTTGGCCTCCCTTCTGCATTCCATATTCATTTATTTTCAATAAACAGCTTCAGATTCCTCATTTTCCCCCCTAAAGCTTACAAATAAATTTTTCTGTCTTGCCTTTCTTGCTACATTTACATAAAAGCCACAATGAAAAATTTATAGCGGTAATAGAAATCTTCAAGAAAGCAAAATGCTCTTAGAACCTACGTGGCCTTAACCCTGTGCTAGGGAGCACAGTGTGTCGGGCTCATGGGCTCTCAGGCTGCTCAGTTACGTAGGAAAGTGTAGCTAAAGTACCAGGTATGGCAGCAAATGTTGAGATTAGGCTGGCTTGGAAGGCTGGCGTGACTTTACTCACCAAAGTCTTTCAGTCCGCCTCTCTTACCACCATGAAAGTAAATAGAGTTTTTACTTGTTAAGTTTCGAAGCAATTATATAAATTCTATGAAAAATTACTATTTGGTAATATTGAAAGAATGGGGGTATATGTTAGAACAAAATATGACTTCATGGAAAATTTAAACATCAATACTTTATAAAGATTACGCTTTAATCAGTTGGAAAGATAACACATGTAAGACAAGAGAAAAATCATTCTTCCTTTTATCCTTTGAAGAAATAATGAGCCTGTTCTGAGTACCACCCTCACAGCACTTAGGACTGAAGGCATTCCTATATATTTCTAGATTAATGCTCATTAATAGAAACTTAATATTAATAAACCAAAATTAGTTAAGTTGGTAAAAATAGGTTCTTTTGTAATATAGCATGAACACAAAAATGCTTGGCACATGAGTATTTATTTCTTATTGCTTAGAAATAAAAGAAAACATTGATTTGTGGCCTGTTCAATGCATAGAAGTTCCCAATTTTAGGTGACAATCCAGTTTATCCTGGAAAAGATATGATTTTTGAGCCCTCTTAATCAATCCAATCATACAACGTGATTGGATCATGTGACCATCGCGAGAGTGCTACTGAGTCCTTGTTTAGTGGCCTCTACAGCTTGGCTGGTGTCTGGACTATTGCTCAGACTTTAGGAAAGACAGGAGCGGGAGTCACTGGCAGTTTCTAGCATTCCTTTTTTTTTTTTTTCAGACAAGTTGGAAGTGTAGATGGAGGTTCTGAGAAGAGGGACAGAAAACACTGGCTTTTAATGTGCTGAATAAAGTGACCAGATTTTTTAAAGTAGTCAGCGTCTAGAACTTCTGAACCCAGTTCTCCTACTCTCCCCCTCTCCTACCTTCAGCCTGTTTTAATAAACTATGAGAAATCAATTTGTTTTCATTGGACACAGCTTTTCCCAACTAAGGTGTGCCCTGTATTCAGCATGGTCAGGATCAGAATGCTCTTTTCTATGCTGGGGATCAACTAATGAGGTGTACCGAGGAGCAGGCAGCTGAGCAGCCACCTGAGCAGAAAGGTCATACTCCTGGAAATGCCAATGCATCTGGTCATTGACAGGTTGTCTTTCTGGAAGGCAGCCATCACGGTTGGAAGGAAGAGACCAGGAGGCTGAGGATTGCGTCTGAGCAGCAACAATCGGCACAACCTCTAGGGAGCTGGAGCGCTGGGTTACCGTCCTCTTCTTTTGCTTTGTGGCTTATGGAAAGCAGAACACAGAGCTGGCTAAGCTATGCTGGACAATGCAGGAGAGGTAGAGTGAAATGCTCTTCCTCCATTTTCTCGACAGTCCTCAGTAGAGTGCTCAGACTCTCCTCTGAGTGGTAAATATTTTAATATACTTCTCCATACAGTGAAGATGCTTCCCATTCTCCTCAAGTAATAATTTGACCTTTAAAACAGGAACAAAAGTAGCACACAAATAATCATTATATGTTGGCTATCTTGTCTCATATAAGGCAGTAGGAAACAGACTCCGTATTCTAAGTGGCTGACTTTATATTTCAGCTCTGCAATTTATTGGTTGTATGAACTTGATCAGATTACTTAACCTGTTGGTGTTATATGACAAACTTTTCCTGGGGAGATGTAGCACACACACACACACACACACACACACACACACACACACACACACACACACACACACACCACTGAGTTTTTATTAGGAACACTAACAGGAACGTGTGTGAGGGGTTACTTATAGAAACAGGGATGACTTAAAAGCAGATGCATCACTGAAAAGGTTATCCTAACACAGGTGGCAGGTCACAAAAGCTACATCCCTGGAGCTCTCAGCACCACTTGTAGGAAGATCTACAGATCCACGAATCTTCTCTAGGCAGTTTGGGGGGTCAGAGCCTTGGGTCTACTCTTTCTACAGCCTTGGGCACAGGGTCCTTTGAATCTTGGTGTGTGAAGTTTATTTATTTCTCATGTCTCTCAAGCCTCTGCCATCTTATGGAGGGAATGTTTCGATTTAGAGGAAACTGTTTCGCAACAGTGTATAGTCGGGTTGGGAATGCTCTTCCTCATAGACCTGATGTGAGGATCAGCACATGCTTGAAATTACATCATTTACAATTACTATTTTATGTTTTTTCTCACATCAATCCTGAAAGAGAAGTTGTAGCCCAGTAACACAGTTAAGAAACTTGGGCCCTCAAACTTCCATGGCTTCAAGATCCAAAGGCTAATAATTGAGAGAGGCAGAGGTTAGACCTGAGAGCCCCTCTGAAAGTCTCTCAGTGCTGTGTAGTCCTTGAACATGGCAGCTTGCCCATGGCCCCTTTCTTTGCCATTCTTTTGCACATTTAATTTTCTTTTCCTGGAATGAGCCCTCCATCTACTCTATCGAATTGCTCCAACTCGCCCTTGAGAATTACCATCAAAGTGCCCCTCATCTAGGAAGTCTTCCTCCCGTAACCTATGCCTCCTCCGTGGCTGCTATACTGTATGAAGCTTGAGTTTTTTAAGCGCCTATTCCTGAAGGAAGCCCTGTGCTTTATGAAACTGAGTTAGTGTCTTTTAAGATTGCTGCCTTCTAGTACATAGCCTCAAGATATTAAGCACTCAGAGAAGGACTACAGAATGACCCTTATACCAAGAACCATCATCTCCCCAATGCCCAGATGCTAAATTCTTTGATTTAGGCTCTCATTTATAGACAGCAAGCCCCAACTGTATTTCATACACCAGTTGTGGGATCCTCTCAAAGACAGCTTCTGTCACTGTAGTCAATTATGGTTCTTAGACCTTCCTTGGGCCAAATCCAAGTTCCATCCCCCTTTGTGGAGGCTCTCAGACTATACTGAAATAGAAGGGTGATGCCTGTGGCAAGTTAAGACTTCCATGCAATGCATTCCTCTTACTTTCCTAATCCCAGAGGTGGGTCTTATTTTCACACTATCACTGGCACTAACCCAGGACTGCACAATTTACAAAACTGCTTACCCATACATTACAGCATTAAGCTTTCTCTAACCCTGGTATGTTGGTAATCAATTGTATTTATTCATTTCTTCTCTGTGTGTTATAAAGAAAAGAACCATGGTGAAAAGTCCTGGCAACACAAGGAACTAGAATTCTGGTGGAATCTCAGCTGGGGCACTTAGTAGCTGTGCATTTTTAAGTAAGCGAGTTAACCTGGTGAATTGAAGGAGCCTTCCATAGAAGAGCATGTTAGTCACACCAGACTGAAATTGTGATTTGATTCCATCCTTGAAGCTTTTGAGATGTTTCAATCTTGCTGTAAAATTGAAATGGAAAAGACATAATGCTAATGAAAATGGGAAATTCTACAAATGATTAAATTGAGCAGCATGGAACATTGATCAAGAAGCTAAATTGGTTTAATGGAGTGCACAGGAAACATACTTTTCCCACAAAAAATATATTGATGTTAGCATAATTTTACTTAAAATATTTGTACTTAAAATGCAGTTGAAGGTCAACACGGAGTGGAGATGAGCAATGTCTGATCCCACTCGCTTACTGAGAACAACTTCAAGTTCTTCACATGCTGTTCCATTCAGTCATAACAGAAGTCCAGGGTCCAAATTGTCAAGTGGCCCCATTTTATGGAGATGGAACAAAACCTGGCTCTACTAAGTATTGCGTTCCCTTTGATACTCTCTTCATCATAGTCCACCACCATTTTATTGCCTCTTCACTAACATTGTATGATTTTCTGCCCCATCAAATAAAATGTTTGGATATTGAAGTTTCTCAAAGGTCCCTATGTTAAAGGCTTGCTTTCTTAGGAGGTGCTAGCAGGAGATATTACAACCTTTGGTAGGTTGGACCTTGTGGGAAGTCATTAAGTTATTGAACATGTCCTTTGAGGGGGAGGTGGGACCTCATTTATTCCTCTTGCTCCTCAGTTTATGAGATAAGACATTTTGTCATATGCTTTGTGTGAAGTGTGGTCTCTCAAGAGATCAAAATGTGTGATGTGAATCAATCCTGAGCTAGAACCTCCAAACCCATGAGTCAAAAAAAAAAATCGCTGTTTCTCTTTGTATGTCGATACGGGGTGGGGGGTGGGGGATGGGTTCATTATAGTAATCTTAATTTGACCAGTACCACGTCTAAACTGGATGCCAAGGTCTGAGAGTTTTGCTTATCTGTTCCCAACTTCTTTGCTGGTTTGCTTTATTTTGACTCTGCCTATGTCCTTTTCTGACACTATTTCCAGAATGTTCTTTCTCTTCATGGGAACCTGTTCTCTCTACCTACCTTTATCAGTTAACAGCCCTGCCTTGCCACATCTATTTAATTCATGCTGCTTTTCTCCATTTCCTGGAGCACAGGTGACATTTTGACATTTTACATTTGTTATTATATTTATTTATTTATTTATTTTAGCAGACTATAATCTTGTGGGGATTTTTGGGAGAAAAGGCGCTGTCTCTATTGTGCTTGTTGCTTTGTCTGTAGGGACTGGAATACTATCTGTCACACAGTGGGTGCATTATGGATAGTTTTTTTTAATTATGAAGAAATAAATGAGCAGGAGCTCTTCATACACAAATCCATACTAAGCACTAAAGGCTAAGAGGCCTCCTAGTGGGCATACCAAACCCAGTTTGCCAGCCAGCGCTCCTGCCCCAGCTTTACTCTGACTGTAGACCTGCCCAGTCCTTATGCAGTTGATGAGGTTCTTGGTCCAAGCCTTCTCCTCCCCAGTCAATGCTCTGCTTTGTTCCCGCCTGCCATCCTGAGTTGCATAGCTCCCGTCTGATGAAATACCATGCTGTTTGCGTGAGTGTCTTTCCAGTGCAGCATGCTTTCCTCAGTTAACAGACTGTTGTGTTGGGATTATGGGAGTGATGTCTGGGGTCTGCAGAGAACGTAAGCAACCTGTGCCTCTAGTAGAGGACTGAGGGCACTTTGGGAACCTCTCTGAGGGCCCATGGTATTGGTCCCTGTGCTGATGTTTTTGCTTTGTAGGTTGTAGACCTCATTCCCGTCGACAAATACAGCATTGGGGATGAGGCAAGCTCTGTCTCCCAGGTGAAAATTGATCTCAATCAAATAACCAGAAGTTGAGTTTCTCGGTGTCAAAAGAAGCCACCTGTTCTCTGCAGATTAAAAAAAAAAGGAAGAAAGAAATATTAAAGGGATAATAAATGAATCATGTCAATTTGTAAGGAAAGAGATAATGATGGTTGGTTGAGAAGAGAAAAATATCAGCTAAGATCATAGAATAATATTGAAAACAGAACATGATCCTTTATTCTAAGCAAGGTAAAAGGAAGAGTTTTTAAAAAAGAAAAGGGAGCCTTGAGTAGGAGAGAAAGAGGAACCACAGAATTAAAAGACGGTCTAATGACCTACGCTTGTATTTTGAAATATTTATTCGTGTAACTGAAATTCCAAAGAGAGGCAGGAAAAATGAATAAATCACAGATCCCCTGAAAAACATAAAGTGAAGGATCCAGCTGAAAGCATAGCTCTCAGGCTCTTTGGGTCATTGGCTGTGTTTAAGTGAGTCCAGTCTGATCTGGCTTAGGAGTGGCATTTTCATTGTGTCAGGGCCACCCTGATCCTTTCCACATGCTTGGACATCTCAGGAATCCACTGAAGTTTTGTATCACAAACCAGCTAGCAGCTGGAGTCACGTGTGATAGGCAGAAAGAAGAAAACACTGGGGCCATTCAGGAGTTCATGTAGACACAGGGAGAGATAATGCAAAGGGTTAAGGAGTGAAGAGCAATAATTTGCTGCTCAACTATGGACATGAATGAACTGCCCAGAGAAAGAGTCTTCTGGAGATAAACAGGCGCAGGAAGTACCTGACAGGGAGCATCGCAGGGCCAGCTGTCTTGAGGCAGGACAGTCCTACGGATGGAGCTATCTTTTGGTCCTTTAAAACCTTTTAAAATAAATAACAGAACAAATTTGATAGTTTTTCTGCAAGGCTTCCTGTAAGAGGTTGTAGGGGCATCATGCATATCTTCTATCTTGACGTGGCTCATTTGAAAAACGCCGATGGAACACAGACCCTTATCTCATCCCGTAAGCATCTCATTCATCATGTGTCTCTGCTTCTTAAGCAAGGACACAGGCATCAGTGGGATGGGTATTGAATGTTGTATTACCATAAAATGTAAGATAATAATGATAATTATTATTCTCATTACTCTGTAGTGCTTATAATCAAACTCTGAGTATCTTACATGATTGGCAACTACCTGCAAACTACACCCCAGTCTTAGAATTGTTTTTAAATATACATATTTGAGCCCAGACCTACCTGATATTGCTTTTGTTCTGTTTTGTCTGATTGTTTTATGGGTCATGATTCTTGGAACCCAGGAAACTCACTATTGCCTAGTGGAATAGGAGTCTGACTCTCTCCTGTCTATTGTGATATAGTCACTCATTCCATGAATGTGTGTTCCTCCAACAATCCATGTGTTGAAATTTAATCCTCATTATGGTGGTCATAAGAACAAGGACTTTATAAAGAGATTGAAGATTTTTATGTTTCTATTAAAGAGGCTTGAGAGCAAAAGGCTTGAGAGCTGCCCGAGACCATCTCTTCAGCCTGTGTGTGAATACAGCCTTCCTCATCCAGCAGATCAATACTAAGTTGCAACCACAGAAATGAGACTGAACCCCCAATGGACACCACATCTGCAGGCTTCTTGATATTGGTTTTGCAAAACTTCAAAACTTGGAAAATGTTGTTTGTAAGTCATCATTTTGATACAGCAGTAGGAATGGACTAAGGCCTCCACCGCATGGGGCTAGCAGAGTCTCACACTCAGCTACGAGGTGAGTCTGGCTCTGGGGTCTGGTCACCAAGTGGCAGGCTGAAGAAAAGTGCGTTTTGGTGATGGTGCTGCATGGTCAGCTGGGGGACGTTTCCCCACCCCGAGAGGGTGATGGGAAATCACACTTTTCCCTCTCATCATGTCTGCTCAAAAGCACAAACAGCCGTGCTTGCTGATGGCAGCTGCTCTACATGCATTGGAATCTGAACTGAAATTTGCAGTATGCCTGGCAAAGCAGTCTGGAAATACCCAGTGTCCTTAATAAAAACCTGGGGTCAGCAAATTAATAAACCCCAAAGTTCATCTCCCATCAATTTTATGATATACACAGATACATTTTCTTATTTTTAAACTGATTAGATGTGGACTTTTTACTTGAGGCTGAAATTATCATAATAGATAAACATATTCAAGCCTATCATTATAATAGTGCTACTGATTTCTTTTTCCTCCATAAATGTCCCTAATGGAAGATAATGCAGTAGAGTTGGCTCTAATACATTAGAAAGGGTATAGAACTCTAGACAGGTCCATGTGGTCATGGCTTATTGTGTCCACCATCATGTTTATAATAACACCATCAAAACAAGTAAGAGGTAAGTACTATTCTAACAAATTTAGAGACAATGAAAGATCACATTATAACAAGCCCCCAGACCTCAGTAGGTCCCAGGTCATAACACAACTGGTGCCATAATGGAAGTACCATTCAGGCTGTGGAGCCCAGCATGTAGGCAGCAACACCTGCCAAAAATGAGAACAAAGACCTAATCCATCAAAGCTCATAGTTCTGGGAAAGTCCCTCCGTGTACTCAGCTTTCTTTTTGGCTCCTGCAGTTCCACTTTGAGCTAAATGTTCTTTCTAACTGAGATGTATTAACTCACAATATGATTTTTGTACTGAAAAGTTTACCCCAAGAAAGGCTTGAGATTGCACTGAGGTTCTGGATAGTCACTAATAATGACTAAAAATGACTGTCTATTGGTTTAATCCCGTGTCCAAATAGTCTTATTTGGTGACTACCTCACAATGATATTCATTTGGGGAACTATTTATCTGCTGAACTGAATGGATTTGAGTCTCCTTTGCAGTATGAGAGAAATATTTTCTTTCTATTTGCAAAAAAAAGTCAAACTAAAAAATAATCACATCATTCCACCCTCCCTTTCTTCCCTACAACATAACCCCCCATCAACTTCCTTAAAATTCAAGGTCTCTTTTTCTTTATTATTGTTATGTGGGTATATAAATGTAAAAAAATGAAAATCAACTGGCTGAGTCTCTTTGATGTTGCTTCTGTATATGAGTTCAGGACCGACCACTTGGTATTGGATAACCTATTGGGGGGCTCATCCTTGCCCCTCTTAGCGGTCATTAAATGTCTGTATCTCTTCATCAAGGGTTGGTGTCCAGTGAGGTTTCCTCCTTCCACATTAGCATGCCTATTGGTACTGTCCTTGTTCAGGTCTTGGTTAAGCAGTCATATGTTGAAGTGTCATGGGCGAAGCTGTTGTAATTTCCAGGAGATACAACCTTGCAGAAGACTTCCTGGCCCTCTGGTCTTTACAATCTTTCCATCCCCTCTTCCTCAATGTCTTCTGAGTCTCAGCTGAAAGCAAATGGGTAGGATTTCTTATAAGCTAGGAAATGAATTCTTGGCACTGGACTAAAAAGCCAGCTCAGGGCTATTTGAGAGGAGAGTCGTAGAGTAAGGAGTTAAAGAGAGTATCTGAGGATGTTCTATGAGGTTGCACGATTTCATGCTCCTACTCACCACAAAGGCTAAGAGAAACACTCTTGCCTATCAGCCCCCATGAAGGGAAACGACCAACAGGAGGCAGCTCAGCTTCATCATATTAAGTTCAAGTACAGAGCTGCTAATATTCTGAAATGGTAATTTGTCTTACGGAGAAGACATTGACCCAATACAAAACTTAGATTTTCTGCGGGCCTTGCTTAACCTGATCACCTAACAAGTGCTGAGGACGAGATGCAAAACCTGGACAAAGCCAAGTCCACAGCTCAAGCAGAAAAGGCTGCCCAGAAGTCAGTATAAGACTAACAATTAAAACATCTCAAGATGAGCAATAGACCGAGTAGGTGGAGCTTCTTTGTGTAATGACCTTTCCCACAGAGCGATAGCAAACACAATGGGCCAGCCTCATAAATCATACCTACAGAGAGCATCCACACAGTCGGTTCCACTGTTTGCATATTCAAATGTCACCCTGATCACAAGAGAAGAGACAAAACACTTTTTTTCCTCTCAAAAATGTCAGCATGGCTGGATTAGAAAAGATAATTTGGAAGTACTTCTAGACAATAATTACCTCTGGCACCTATCTGCAGTGTACTTAACGAGTGGAAAGAGAACTTTTTTAATTTTTAAAAATTATGATTATTACAGTAATTAATCAGCTGCTCCATGACAGCTTCCTTGAGGGGGAAAAAGCATCGCAAAGGCCATCATGTTTCGGTAGGGCGCCTTGTTGATCTCACATCGAGTATGCAAAATATGTCTCGTTAATATTAGCCGCTAAAATGCTGTGGCAGTGGAATTAGCCTCCATTTCCTAAATAGCCAGGAAACTCGGAAACTCACATTTCACAAGTGGAAGAGAGAGGGGAAGAAAATCCTAATCCCAAATGCTAGTTTTAAAAAAAAAATACTTCAGATTCGCTCAGCTGTGGTTGTTAAACCAATCTCCTACTTAATTACATGCAAAAGGTTCCCAGTTCTAATTACAGCCCTTGGGGAAATAGCCCATCTCCCCAAACCAATAACTCCTCATGTTCGCTTCCAATTTTTTGTGCTTAATGTGCTGCCCTGAATTTCAGCTTCCCTGGATGATCCGTGAGTTCTGAGTTTTGCCCTTCAGTTCCCACCACACTGAGCCAAGCAAGGTTAGGAGATTCACCTTCCCCGGGTGACCCTTTCAGAACCACCTTTGCCACTTAGCACTAACCCTCAGCTACATCAGAGGCAAAGTCTTTCTTCCGGGGAATTCTTTACCTCTCTGAAGCTGGGTGCCCTCTGTGACTGTGTCAAAGCCTTGGGGTGATGTGAAGGCAGCAGCCTGGTGAAGAGGCTAACTGTCCCAGCCTAGAGGTAGAAGGCTTCTAGAGGTCAACCTTCCCTGGGTTTGCCTCTCTGAACACCGTCTAAGCCAGTAAAAAGCATCAGGAACTGCCTGAAAGTAGAAACTTCACACCCACGAGCCAATGGAGGATGCTTATCCAAAGCCCTTGGATAATAAGCAGGGAGCCTGGGACTGAGCAAGGGAGAAAGATTGTCCTGCCATCTCAGGGGCAGCTAACAGTTTAAGCAAGATTCTGCATAGACTGATCTACACACAGTAGAGATGGTACTGGAACGGTTCTCCATACTGGATCATCTTAGACTCAAATCGTAGGTGCCTTCCCACATCAAGAGAAGATGAATACATATGAGCTAGTTTGCTATCCTTGATCCTGTGTTTTTTACCTCTTTGGTTGCAGAATTCGTCTCATGGATCTTATTATTCACTACTCAATGATATTGTTAAGGAGGATTCCAGGTATATTATAAAAATCTGCTTGTTTCCACCGTGTATACTCATGGCACACAATAATGCGCTACATGTGGACACTTTCACACAAGTATACACTGTCCATCCTGTGATTACTGCCTCCTTGGTTAGCCTTATTGTCAATTGGACCTGTATGTAGGTATGCCTATGGGGCATTAAATTCATTAAGCTAATCGAATGTGGTAAGATCCAGATCACTGGTGGGAGTTGATGAACTACAGAAGAGAAATTAAGCTGAGCACACACAAACAGGTGAACATGCATTCATTCATTTCCTTCTACTCTTAGCTACAGATGTTCCGGCTGTTAGAAGTTCCTGCCTTGACTTCTCCACAGTAATGGACTGCAACCTGGAACTGTAACCTTTATCCCCTACGTTGCGTTTTGTTAGGGTGTTTTATGCAGCAACAGAAATGAAGCTCAACACCGTGTATCTTCCCTTCCTCCTATCCTCTTTCTCCTCTTTGTCCCCTAGACAGAGGGGTTTTACTTCTGTTTTTCTGTCATATACACGAGCATGATTATGT